TCACAATGCTGGCAGCCTTATATTATATTGGCAAATGTACTTCTGAGAGGTGCCTGGGTGGCTCAGTCGGTTAGGCGTCTGCCTTTGGCTCGGGTCATGATCCCAGGGTCCTGGGATTAAGCCCCATGTCCAGCTCCTTGCTCAGTGGGGAGTTTGCTTCTCCCTCTCCCTCTCTCTGCGGCTCCCCCTGCTTGTGCTGTCAAGTAAATAAATAAAAGTCTTAAAAAAAAAAATGTTCTTTTGAAACCCAGAAGCCATGCCCTCCATGCCCAGGACAGGTGTCAGCTTCTAACCTTAGTAGGTATTATATTCCCATATACTTGCTAGTTAAAGTACAGAGACCCTAGGGAATTTGCATGTGTTCTACCATCATTGAAACTTTTAAAAACCTGAATTTTTACATCTTAGGATGAGTCCAGCGAGTTTTACGCATTGTATCACAAACTGGAATGCATCCAAAGTGGGCTTCCCATGTGTGAAGAAATCCCATTGCCCAAGGGACTTGGAGGCAGAATGTATGTTCAGGAGTCATCTTGTTTTCACCAAGCCAGACTGAGCCTAAATCTTCCTTAGGAACTTGAAGGAAAGGTTTAGGAATTTTAAGGCAAGTAAGAGGGCATGGGAGGAGGACTAAGGGAAGAAAGGAAGGTCTGGTCTCCAAGCTCTTGCTCTGGAGCCAGACCACCTCCTTCCCTAGGGACAGAGCCCTTCTCCTCCTTTGGAGACCTGACTTTGCCATGAGGCAATTTATGTTGATCAGACCTTCTTCCCCCATTATCCTTCTTGGAGAAACCCAAGCCAGAAGGACACAGGAACCTCAGACTTAGATCCCAGCTTCCAGAAACCTCTGAGAACATAGAGGATACCAGTGACCATACCTCACTTTCTTCTAAAAGATTACTGATCCAGGGTCATTTTGCTCTGGTCCTACAATCCCCCCTCTCTCCTCAGGTATGCTTCCTGAGCCCACAGGGACAGGGCAAACCTGAAATGTTTTCCCAGAGAATCAGTCTTCCTTGGAGATTTGGGGAAAATTATTTGAAAGGACTACTGCTATATTAAGACAAACATGGATATATTATGGAGTGGAAAATCCCTATTATCTTTCACTAAAAAGGGAGATTTTGAAAAAATTTTGCTGAGCCCTTATAAACTACACCCCCAGGCTCCCAAGGGTACATCTTTTACTCCCCTGATACCATTAAGGAAACTTCACTGGAAAATTTAGAAAAGTATTTTTGCTAGATGGAAGAACTCACTGTAGACAAAGGTTACTTTTGGTGAATGAAGGACAATGAAGGGGGATTTCAAGGTTTATACTACACAGTTTTGAATCTTTTCCCTCTGTAAAGAAACAAAAAGACAAAAAGAAAAGCCTAATAAAAATAAATAAATACATGTGGTTTCTGGGGGAAAAATCCCAGAGTGCTACTGGATGACAGGTGGCCTACAGCCTCACAGAGTAGCAGGCACGTTCTGGGAGCCCTTCCCCCTCACCCCCCATGAGTCTAAGGGAAAGAAGGCACACGTTTACCTGTTTATGAGCTCACTCAGGTAAAGGGGATCATCGGGGAATTCTGGGAAGAAGGCGCAGAAAAAACAGCTTTTGGAGTCAGAGACTGTGACACAGTTGTGAAACCTCGGGCAAGTCATTCTCTAGACCTCAGTTTCCTCATCTTTAATACGGCTTTAATAATGTCTGCAGGGTACTGTGAGGATGATATGAGTCAAGGTATGTAACACACCTGGTGTATTCTGGGTACTCAACAAATACCACGCCTTTCCTATCCCCGGTGTAGTGTAGCAGCAGAAAAAAAGTCTTTCAAAACAAGAGAAGTGGCTAGGGACGAGAGGCCCAGAAACCAGGGTACCAACTATAAACCGGACTCCACTCAGCAAGTGTGGCCACAGGCGCAGTAGGAAGCAGGCCTCTCTGAACCACAAATTCAATCTGCCATGGGGGCCGGAGGCAGCACCGGGGCTTAGCCTTCAGACCATGTGATTACACCAGAAGACAGAGGGGCAGAGAGGCCTTTTCAACCTAGTGTTTAAAGACACACAGCAGGGTAAGCATTTCAGTTATTTTTAGTTAAAGAAAAACAGCCTTTTCCAAGGGTGACAAAATGAACTGAAGGTCAGGAGGAAGTAGGGTGTGGGCTGCTCAAAGCTCTTGCTCCAAAATCTGGAGGTGAGGAAAGAATGCCCTCCCAAGGATTCAAGGGTGATTGGCCAGCACAGGGATGACTTTGGTGACTTTGGTCACTGGGTTGGTCTAAGTAGGCTCTAAGGTGATTTCCACCTGCCAGTTGGTTGACATGATTAAATATTATTCTTGGGAGCTATTAAATTAAGGAATGATGCAGGGAGCCAAGAGACTGGCTTATTCAGTTGGATTCTGAATCACAATCAGGAAATAGTCTTTATCTGCAAAAGAGAAAAATGAAAAAATAAATCACTAAATCATTAAATCATTAAATCACCAACCATAAAAGGGGAGGGGAACAATAAAAAGCATCAATGCTCAGCCTACTTCCTACTGTCGGGAAAACGGAAGATGAATTTGCAAGTCTCCCAAGGGGGCTTCTGCTGGGAAAGCAGAGCCCCTCCCACCTGGCAGCCACGGCCTGCAGCACATCCTCTTTTCTAATCTTCATGGTACGGCATGGTGCCAACAGGGAGGTAGGAGTATCATCCCTGTTTTCTGGGTATGAAACTCAGGTTCAGAGAATTTAAATGAATTCCTTATGGCAGTGGTTCGCAAACTAGAGGGCACATGAATTACCTGGAGGGCTGGGCTCAAAACAAACACTACTGGGCCCCACCCCTAGCCCTTTGGATTCAGTAGGTCTGGAGTGGGGCCCAAGAATTTGCATTTTTTAAATTAAGTTTTTATTTTTTTATTATTTTTTTAAATTATTTTTTTAAAAGATTTTATTTCTTTATTTGACAGAGAGAGAGAGCACAAGCAGGGGGAGTGGCAGGCAGAGGCAGAGAGAGAAGCAGGTTCCCCGCAGAGCAAAGGAAGCCTGATGTGGGACTCGATCCCAGGACCCCAGGATCATGACCTGAGCCGAAGGTGGTCGCCTAACCAACTGAGCCACCCAGGTGCCCCTAAGTTTTTATTTTTAAATTTGTATTTATTTCTTTAAAGTTTTGTTTATTTATTTATTTACTTACTTACTTCTCGCTACACCCAACGTGGGGCTCAAACTCACAGCCCCGAGATCAAGAGTCACATGCTCCTCTTACTGAGCCAACCAGGGGCCCCTAATCAAGTTTTTAATTTTAATTCCAGTATAGTTAAAAGAATTTGCATTTTTAACAAGTTCCCAGGTAATGCTAATGCTGCAGGTTCTGGAACAACCACTAGGTTAAGGTTGCTCTTCATTTTATTTTAGAAGAAACTGGAGAAGCAGGGCATTTCAACTTTGCCCATTTAAACCAAAATATTTATCAAGGCTTCCATGTGCCCAGTCCTGGGCCAACTGCTTCTCATACGGTACCTCAATCAATCACTCTATGAGACAGACACTAGTGTTTTCCACTTCACTGACGCCCTGGGAGTTAAATGACTTGCCCAAGCCAAGGCAAAAACTCAGTGTGGGGTAGCTAGCTGGGTTTGACCCAGATGCTCTGCATGCCTCTGGCCTGCCCTCTGTTGAAGAGGGGAGAAATGGCAGGACCTTGGCCTTGTCTGCTTTGTGTGTGCTGATTCAAACCTAAAGTTTGCTTCTTCCCACGATGACAGGCTGTTGCAGATTGGCAGAAACAGATTTTATAAGACTAAGAGTTTCATGGCTAAGCAATCTGTACAAATTAAAATCACTTACAAATAAAAATAGAAATAATTAACAAGCCACCAATAGAAACAGACAAAATTAGCAATATAGTGTCTTTTCTTCCAAATATCAAGCTCTAAATTCAATAATATCATTCCAAGTGCTTTGTGGGAAGCAGTGTTAAAGCTTGATTATGCTACATTAACTTGGCCTTATATTAATGAGGTTAATAAATGAAAACCAAAAGTCTACCTTAAAACGTCTTTTTGCATGGGCTATTCTGGGCCAGGATGGGGTGAAATCTGGCACACATATGGAGGACTAAACTATCGGAAACTACCTGTTGTTATTTGTGGTCTGGGAAGCAGCTTCTCAGTTTGATCAACCAGAATGATTAGGTGGGAAGGAAGGGACAGTGGACTTCCTTCCTGGGCAGAGCTCTTCCAAATTGTTTCCATGGTGTGGGAGCTAATTATAGTCGCAGAAGGACCCATCTCAACATGCAGCAACTAGGCCTGTTTTATGCTGGGGGCCATCCCCATGGGGCTTGTGCTCTGTGGAAACCTAAGGCAATCTAGTCCTAATGCTTCAGAGGCTCTTGTCAGTGGCTCCGGCCCACAAGAGTTCTGGCACCAAAATCCTATATATATATTTTGCCATATCAAAGTGCGTGAGTCAAGGTGTCAAATCATTGGTTTTCATCTTAAATACCATGTCCCACAGACATTCCTTTTTTTTTTTTTTTTAAAGATTTTATTTTTATTTATTTATTTGAGAGAGAGAATGAGAGACAGAGAGCACGAGAGGGAAGAGGGTCAGAGGGAGAAGCAGACTCCCTGCCGAGCAGGGAGCCCGATGCGGGACTCGATCCCAGGACTCCAGGATCATGACCTGAGCCAAAGGCAGTCACTTAACCAACTGAGCCACCCAGGCGCCCCGTCCCACAGACATTCCTGACCCCCATCCCCACAGCTCACCCCACCTCTTACTCCCACAGTGCAGGGTCAGCAATGGAGGGAGATTTAGGGAAATCATTCATATATTTACTCATCAACTATTTGTTAAATGCTTACTATGTGCTTACAAATCTGTCTTCTTAGAACTGTCAGGCGGGGAGACTTAAAAATGCAGATGAGCAGGCTGGTTGGCTAAATGAAAAAGGCAAGATGGAGCGCTGCCAGCAGCAGGATGGCACGTGTGAGGGCCCAGGGAGAGAAGGTGGAGTCTCTTGAAGCTCTAGAAGGCAGCAGAATGGCTGGAGAAGTGGTGAGGGTGTTCAGAAGGAACACTCACCCTGTTGAAGGCAACCTCAAAAAGTCACACAGCTCTCCAGCACAAGAGAATGTGTGTGTGTGGCACTGTGGGAGCGTGAGTGCAAGACAGAGTGAGCGAGCAAGAGTGAGAGGGTGTGCAAGCCCTCCCTGCAGGCCTCTGTGTGTCGCTCAGAAGGAGTCCAGCCATTCCATCCTCACCTCCACTGACAAACCTGAGGGGCTTCTGGGCCTGTGAACTCCAAGGAGAACCTCTAACTTGGGAGTTGCCAACCCTGGACTCAAGCACCAACAACACCCATTAACTGTGAATGCCTGTGGGTCCTCAAGGGCAAGCTGGAGATGCCTTTGCTGTCAAGGTGAGAATGGACAGTCAGGAACATACAGATGACTCTGCCGTTCTAGAGGAGACGTTCTTGGAAGCTTTAAGCTTAAAGAGAAAGCTGTCCATGGAGAATCTAATTTGGGAATCACATCATTTGTCCTTGCCTCACAATGTGTGCCTTCCTGTGGGCACAAAGTCTGCTCTGACATGCAGGGCTCTGACATGCAGGGTCAACAGAGGGACCATTCCTAGCCTAACTTTTAGGGAAGTGGAGGTTTGTGTAGCCATACAACATGAGTCTTAGGAGGGATTTGAGTTCAAATATTTCCCAGTCTTTCTAGCCCACTCAGAGCCAACCCACTCAATCAGATGGGGTGTCTCAGGAGACCAGAGCAGTATAGTACCTTACTTGACAGTTTATAGACATGGAAATAGTGGTTCAGAGATATTCCGTGACTTAAGGTCACACTCAAAAGAGATAAAGCTGGGAAAACAGATTTTGTCTGCTGCAATCTGGTATTCCTCACAGAACCAGAGGCATCATAATGGGTTGGTAAGTGATGCATCAAACAGTGATTAAACTGATAAACACCATACAGCATGTTTTTGGAATAAATGCCTCTGAATTATCCTATGTTCTTCTCTGTGACCAACCTGCTCTGTCCCTACCCCTCTAGGAAGTGTCCCAGGGAGATTGTGAGCCCCTGTGACTGGGTCAATGGTTCTCCCTTTGTATCCTTCTAAGCAACCCGAATGGGCCAGAACAAGCCTGAGAAGAGAATCAACACTGCCCTGCTACTGGGGTGGTTAACCCATCAGATTACCCCAGAATTCTGCAACCAGCTTCCTCATCATCTGTGTTGCCAAGCCCAAAGACATTCAATTTCCAGAGCCTCCCTATGGCCCTCCTTCATCCAGGTCCCAATCACAATCATATCACCTCTTGCCTTAAAAACCACCACAGGGTCAAGTCCACACAGGTAAGTTTGGTGTCTGATGCCTCTTCAAAAATGGACCAAACATCTCACCTCTCATTCTTTCCTACACATATTCTGATGGCCTAGACAAGCTGCACTGCAGCCTACCTGCATCATCACGTGCACACTTAACTGTGTGGCACAGCCAAAAAAGAGAGAGGAAGGAACAGAAATAATAATATAAAAATAGTCCTGGACAATTAATCTGTCCACTACTCCAGTCTGTGAGTGAGGTGATACAGGCCAGGACAGGTAGCCCTGATGTTCCCTCCTGTGGTGCCAGTCCTTGTGGGCTCCTCCCAGGAGGCGCATTTCATCATCCTGCAAATGATCCTAAGATCTAAAGACAGGTATAGTTTGTACTACACAGCTCTTAAATGCAGGCCAAGCACTGCATGAGAAATAAAAGCAGCAATCTGTTCCAACACTGGAGGAAAAACTGGCCATATGGGGCCCAGAGAGACAGGACTATACTTTAGAAGTGGGCAATTTAACATTTTTTCAAGGATAAAACGACCATATGATATTTTTGTCTTGTGCTTTGGTTTCAAATTACTGAGCTCTTTTTCTTTCAAACATAGCTTTCCCACCCCTTCAACTTGCTTACACTCTTTCCTGTGCCTTCTAGATTCAGCTCAAATGTCCCCTCTTCTGGGAAGACCTAATCACACCTTCTCTATGTTCCGTGAGACCATGATTCCCCTCTGTGGCCTAAACCCTAGTACAGGGTCTGGCCTAGAGTCACAGTGAATAAGTATTTGTTGGGGATACCAGCCAGAGACTGGCTAGGCAGTGAGGCAATCAACTCTGTACCTTCAATTCTTCAGGCCTTGCAATGGCACCTATGGGGACACTAATGTGCCAAGTATTCCTGATAAGCTATCCAGAATATGCTGTGACAGTTTGCTCCCAAGTGGGAATGTGGAAGACCTCTTACCTGGTGCAACCATAATTTCATTTTTCTTGGAGCGAATTCGCAGGAAGGTGAGGTCATTCTGGGGGTCGATTTCACGCACCGTGCTCCGAGCCTTCAAGATGAAGTTGTGCATGAGGTTGGCATACTGTGTGGTGGTGGGATTGTCCATGGTGCTCTTGATGGGAATGCCTGAGGGGAGAGCAGGGACTGAGTAGGAAGTTGGAGCCCCTTTCTGCCCAAATCCCAACCCCACACCCTTAATTCAAGAGCGGACTAGCAGTTAACAGTCAATGCCACTATTTACTGAGGACTTGACAGGCACAGTGCTGAGCACTTTAAGTATGGCAGCACCAGTCCCCGGAATTATGCTGGCGGTGGAATCACCATCTTCACTCGCCAATGAGGCAACAGAAGCTCTGAGCCTTCACACAGCACAGAAGCAGTGGGGCTAGGATTCAAATGCAGGCCTGTTGGCTCCACTGCTGGGCTCCTTCCACAGGCCACACTGTCTTCACTGGTTTCCAGCAATAAAAGAAGAGACTATCATTCAGAACACTTAGAACCTGAACAAAGAGGACAGCTCTTGTGAATTTGTAAATACTGAGAAGTAGGAAGAAGAAAAAAAGGTCAGCCTATGCCAAGACATTACCATCACTAGTGCTTTGCTCCAGTTCCCACCAAGGGAGGCTTAGGGCCCAGCTGTAAACACATGTCTATACACATGTTGGTGCCCCTCGAATTAAAGCGTGTTTCTCTGTCTGCATATAGACTTGTAAACAGCATTGCTATTGCTTTCAAAGAGCCCACAACTGGCCATTCCACAGAATTAATCACTCCTTTATTGTTGGTACATAGGCTGGATTTTTTTACTTAATTACCATGCAGTGAACACCATTGTGTACCAAGCCTTTTCTGTTTTGAAGATTGTTTCCTTGCAATGAACTATTAAAATGGACCTCCCTTACTGGTCAGTGCCTATCATCATGGAGGTGAAAAATGGGGCTCAGCTTGAGCCACCTCAGGACACAACCGAATCATCAGGTGCCTATGAATCACCAAGACATATCAGCAGAAGGCTCCACTGAGGAAGACTTAAGTGCCCACAGCGGACAGGCAGTTGTGATGAATGTGGCAAAAATGGCTGCTCACACATAAGTGGCTAGATTTGGGGGCCCATGACCCTGCTGGTCTGGCCCACAAGCGACCAGCTTAAGGACTGGCCAAAGGCAATTACCCTCAGGCCTACTCACAGGTGGCAAGAAGCTGGCCCAATCTTGTCTTCTTAAAGCACAGGAACATGAGAGTAGGCAGAAGAGGACATAATAGCAAGAGAAGCAGCTGGGTCAGAAAGGCTGTTTTGAGCCAAGTGAGGTCATGAGGACAGACTGTAGTGATCACTTGCCTTCAAGGGACAAGAGGACTAGATCATTAGGGTTGCTATTGGGTCCTGGGTGGTGACAATGTGCCCACCAGGCCCCACTCCATAGCAGAATCTTCCTAAGGATGGCAGTATGAGCAGCTGGGGTGATGACTGAGGAGGAACTCTGAAATCTGATGACCTGGACTTATACCCTGGCTCTACCCCTTCATGGCTATGTGGCCTTACACAAGTGATTTAACCTCTCAAGCTTCCGTTTCTTCATCTGTAAAATAATGCTTGTGCTGTGAGGATTAAATATGGCTAATTCATTTAAAAATGTTTAGCAAGAGTACAAATGTAATGTTGGCTTGTTATCAACATCACTACACAATAAATCCCATCCCCCAGGTAACTTGAGGGGCCAATCTCAAGGCCTGGAGAAGTTTGGATGATCAAAACTCTTGACCTTTTCTTCTTCTTCTTTTTTTTTTTTTTTAAAGATTTTATTTATTTATTTGAGAGAGAGAGAATGAGAGAGAGCAAGCACATGAGAGGGGGGAGGGTCAGAGGGAGAAGCAGACTCCCCGCCGAGCAGGGAGCCCGATGCGGGACTCGATCCCGGGACTCCAGGATCACGACCCGAGCCGAAGGCAGTCGCTTAACCAACTGAGCCACCCGGGCGCCCCGACCTTCTCTTCTTATATACCATAAGGCCATCTTCTCTCAGTCCCTCTGCCTGGAACTTTCCTTCCTTCCCCATTCTCTCATAATTCCCACTGATTCCTCAGGTGTCCATTTTCTGGTGGATCTACCCACCTCCAGATGTGGTCAATGCCTCCATTCTACCGATCCCATACAATTTTCCTTCAGAGCAGTTTCCTCTGGAGTTTGATATCACACCATTATGGAAGTGAGCAGGACCAGGTCTGATTTGCTCACCATTGTCCTTAAAGAGACTTCACTAAGCATTTATTGCAGACCATAAATGAGTGCTCTCAAGGGCTCCTTCAGCAGTTCGAATACTGTCATGAGTTTGATCACATTTCTACTAAGTGAGATGTGTATAAAGGAGACAAGAAGCTAACCACTTGTTGGCTCACTTTAAAAACAAAAGAAAATGTAGAGGTAGTAAGAAGGCGGGACAGGGACCAAAACTGGGGAGGATTTCAAATAAGGACAAGAGATCAAGTCCAGATTCACAGGATGTCAGAGCTGGAGACACCACAAAGATAGCCAAATGATTAGGTCGCCTACTCTAAGCTTCTGCCTTCACAAATGGGGACTGTGCAGCCTGCAGAAGTAGCTGGTCATGAGGGAGCACGATTTCTAACTTGGGGCTCAGATCTGTCAAGACCAAGGTTGAATAGCCAGGTCCTCCCACCAAACCCAGCTTCATCAATCAACAATAAAAAACATTAACAATATTTAACAGAGGCAGTAGCCCCCCGCCTTATCTGTGGTTTCACTTTCCATGGTTTCAGTTACCCGCATCAACTCTGGTCTGGAAGCAGATGATCCTCCTGATCAGGTCAACAGGAGCCTAATATTGCCTCACAATGTCTGTGTCATTCACCTGACTTCACTTCATCATGTAGGCAATTTTATGATCTCACATCATTACAAGAAGGGTGAATACTGTATAACAAGGTATTTTGAGAGACAACATTCACATAATATAGTATACTGTCACTATTGTTTTATTACTAGTTATTGTTGTTAATCTCTTACTATGCCTTATTTATAAATTTAACTTTATCATAAGTATGTACGTATAGAAAAAACCATAGTATACATAGGGTTGGGTACTATCCTGGTTTCAGGCATTCACTGAAGGCTTTGGAATGTATGCCCCATGGATAAGGGGGGTCTACTGTATTTATTAAGCACCAACTACGTGTCAACATTGTTCTAGGTGCTGGGGATACAGCAATGAACACAAGAGACAAATCTCTGCCCTCATAAAGCTTACACATTTGAGTCTTTTATGTTGCCCTGTGTGGGTAGCAGCAGAAGATGGCAGGGGGTCTGAAGAGGTACAAATGGAATGGAATATTCCTTAAGTTCTTGGTAATTCCATTTAAATTCACACTTTTACTATGAAACATCATTTAAATTTGGCCAAGGCAAAGATGTCAAAGGCAGTGGCAGATGGCTGGTAAGTGACTGGGATAAGGGTGTGTCATTAGTTCAGGGGCAAAAGCAATCACTCTGGGCTCGGGTGGTCGGGAAATGCATCCTGCAGGAAAAGGCAGCTGAGCTGAATCATGGGGGTAGGAAAGCCCTAGATGGGATAATAGGAATCCCTAACTAATCATCCTTCATGGAAGCTTCCAGAGAGCTTAAAGGCCCTATAGAGCAGTGAGTTCTGACCACCTCCATCCACAGCTGGGTGACCTTGAACAGGTCACCTAATTTCTCTCAGCTCTGGGTTTCTCATCTGAAAAATGGGCAAAACCCCTGCCTTGCAGGGTCATGGTGTGAAATGTGAGACTAAAGTGGGAGCTCTGTAGATGGGACACAAATTAAAAATAAATAAATACATGCAATAATTTTAGCATTTATATGGCAGTTACCATACATCAGGTACTGTTCTAAAAGCTTCCCTTAAAGGAAGGTAGTATAATTATCCACGTTTTACAGATGAGGAAGCTGGAACAGAGAGGTTAAGTGACTAGCCTAAGATCACACTGCTGATAAAAATTAAGTAGAGCCAGGATTCAAACCTAGGCAGTCTGGTTCCACATTCTATATTCTTAGCCACTGGGCAATACTGCCACATTAGTATATGAAAAAGAAGTGCCCGTTAGTATCCAGAAGGTAAGCATTTGGTGCTATATTCTCCCAATGAAAAAGCTCAAGTTTGGGGGCAGTTTTAAAGCAAAACTGAAGGCTGTGGCTTGCAAATACTGATGGAGGCCTATTCCCTCCCCATTTGGGAAATAACCCCAGGAGCTGCTCCCTCCCCATCTGAGGTCAAAAAATGTCCAGTCTAAGACAGTCTCTCTGGGGAGATATACAAATAGTCTTTCAGATCTCGGAGTAAGAAGCAGCCAAAAGAGACTGCCTGGATCAACCACTCCACTTACGGCAGCTGAGGTCTGAAGAAGGGAAGAGGAAGCCCCAGGCCCTCCAGCTGAGCAGTGGCAGACCTGAGCTGGAATCTGCTCCTGCCTCCACAGTGTCCGAAGAGACCCAACCTGCTGCCTGCTTTGACCACATGGTATAATTAGAGTTTGACAAAGCTGCGGAGCACGTGCTATGCGCTGCCTAGTTCTGGGCTGGCCAGGGTCTAACAACTTGGAAAATAACATTCTAACTAAGGACATGCCACTTCTACTTTTTCACCCTTGATGACTTTCATTCTGCTCTATTTAAGTAGGCATTATTGAGAATTCTGCCTTTCTAAAAACAAGGGTTAGAATGACAACACATACACACAGAGCTCTCAAGGAGTCGCGAACAAATCAGTTGACTAAATGCACTGCACTAGAGAACGGGGGAGCCCAGCTGGGTGACCCTGGGCATGGCCTGGGCTACAGACCAGCAGCTACTCTCTGTTCCTTCACAGTACAGTGTGGGAGAGAGAGCACAAGTGCATTCAGACAGACTTGGCATGAAATCTTGGTTCTATAATGGCAGGCAAATCAATTAAATTTCTAGACTCCGTCTTCTCTACTGCAAAATGGAGACAACAGGGCTGCTTTACGGAATAAATGAAACAATATGTTTGTAAAGCACTGGCCTGTGGCTTGGCACTGAACAAGTGTGTGATAAATGTTAGTCGTTTTCTTCACCATGTCTACTGCAGTTTGGGAAAATTAGTATCTGTACTCTTCTAGTTGTTGAAATAATGGTATAGAAAAGGAGAGAGGGGTGCCTGGGTGGCTCAGTCGGTTAAGCACCGGACCCTTGATTTTAGCTGAGGTCATGATCTCAGGGTTGTGAGATCGAGCCCCCCACTGGGCTCAGCGCTGGGCATGGAACCTGCTTAGGATTCTCTTTCTCCCTCTCCCTCTGCCCTCCCTGCCTGCCCCACAAAAGGAGGGAAAAGCTATAGGTATTAAGAAGTTGACCAGAGTATTATCTAGTAAAATAGTAGAAACAGGGGCACCTGGCTGGCTCGTGGGTAGATTGTGCAGCTCTTGATCTCAGGGTTGTGGGTTTGAGCCCCACACTAGGGGTAGAGTTTACTTAAAAATAAAAGTAGAAACCATATAAATGGTGGATGGTGGATAAACATCGTACTGGCAGTTAAAAATTTTGCTTATGTAAATCATGAAGAAAAAAAGCCAAAAAACAAGCTCATGAGTAAACATATGAAAAAGAGTAACAATTATAATTATGACCAAGAGAAGATGTACCTGGGCAAGGGCTAAAAAGCATGGCATAGTAAAAAGTATCATCTATCAGGGCAGTGGGATTGAGTGAATTTTTCCTCTTTTAAACTTTGGAATTCCAACAATAGTGCTAGGACACTGGAAGTGCTTAAAAAAGGGTAAAAATTAGATCCTGTATATGAAAGGGCTTAGTAAACAGTGTCATGCTGTGTTTGGGCTGTTTTCTTGGGGCCTGCCTGTGAGCAGGTCATGGCCAAAGGGAGGGTGTACCTTCTGTGTTCACCACGATGATGCCCTGTACTCCCTTCTGGCTCTGAAGTCGCTTCAGTGTCTCCTCCACCTCTGCCTGCCAGAGAGAACAAGACCCAGGTTAGGAGGGGTCAGGAAGACCGGACTGACTTCCTCATACTCCCGGCAGATTAATCACACATTTGTCTTCCAATAACAAACAAGTGACATCCAGGCACATGGCACCTCCTCAAAGCTCCCCAGGCCTGTTTGGAGTGGTCCCTGGGCCATCCACAGGGCTTAAACCATCTGCTCACAAACCCCAGCATGGGGCGTGGCTACTCCTGGCTCTTTGCCCACTAGGCACTATTACCTCTCCCTGCTTAGCTATTTGGGAGCAGAACATAAATACCTTTTTTGGGAGTATAGACACATCCATGACTCACATATTTGGGACACTTGGGAGACCAGATTCTGATGATTTGAAAAAACCCTAACAGTGGTGTCTAATAGGAAGGAGAATAAGTTGTCATTTGTGGCCCAAACAGCACAAATGAAAATATTCCAAAGGAAGAAAAATGACTCCATGAGGATAAATTCAGTGACTTAGTAAGCTAGCATCTGAGACAGTGTGACACACGGCACACAGCCACAGGGAAATGTGCCCGGGGAAGGGGCTCATTAATCTTGATTCTCCAGAAACTAGCACATGGCATTTGGGAGCTCACCCTATCATGCCAGGCCTTCTATATTATTATCACTCCCATCTCTTTTACCCTTCCTTCAACTCTCCATCTCCATGCCTATACCTCCCTATCTCTACATCTTTTTTACCCTAACAAGGAAATCCAGTAAATTCTTCTAGGCCATCTAAGACATACCTCTTCCACGAAGCCTTTACTGATCCCCCAACTCTGGAGTCTTTGCCCACTTCTGACTCCCCAAACTCTTGACTGTCTCTCTAGGAATGCATTAGATACTGGTTTACTTGTTTCTATAATGCTCTGTAGAACAGGTGCTCAGTAAACAACTGCTTAACTGAACTAAGCCAAATCTGTGGATGGAAACTGGCCTTAAAGTGTGCTTGTTCTTAGGAGGCCCCTTCCAGACCAGTCCAGAATCCAGGCAGAAGCTACTCAAAGGCTGAGTCAGGCTATGTTGAAAACAGACGCCATCCACCTAAAGAAAGTGGTTCCCCACCCCCAAGGGCTAATGAGTTGGCCTGCAGGGGAGGAGCTTCTAAACAGTGATGGAGAGAGCACAATGAATTATTGTTTTTCTAGTAGGAACAAGGCTGACAATCCAATCACTACCACCCAGTCCCCAATGATATAAGAATACTCAAATGCTGGAGAGAAGAGCAAACAAGTTGCTCCTACGAGATGGCAAATAGCCTGACACCTCATAAATCTGGAGCCTGAGTAAAAGGACAGGGTTAGCTCTGTGGACATGAGTACAATACAGTGGTTCATGCATGTATGAGGTCATAATTCATTCAAGACTTTCAGTGAGCTCCTATTAAGTGCTGTTCTGGGGAGGAGGGGTAAAGTACAATAGTGGCCAATATTACACAGTACTCAATCTGACCTGGTAACTTTCCCGAAACTCATCCTAAGGAAATAACTTAAAAGAAGAAAACAGCAAGATGTCTGCCGCTGTGACACCTGCAGTTGCAAAAAAGAGAAAGAGCCAAAAATGCCCAATAATTAGGAAAAAAGCCAATTATATTATAGCATGTCTGTTCACAGGAATATAATACACACATTAACAACGGTAATCAGAATATTTATATCACTACAAAAAGTTTACGATATAACATTAAGTGAAAACAGCTAAATGCAACAATAAAGTGCCTGATGAGGGCACATGAAAACAAGCAAGCTAGGGCTCTGAAAAAAATAAAAGCCACATTGAGAGCAGGGAATTATAGATAAGGTTTTCTTTTTTTTTTAAACAGCGTCTTTTTACTCCATTATACTGTTTCTACTTAAAAACATTTTTTGGGGTGCCTGGGTAGCTCAATTGGTTAAGTGTCCGACTCTTGGTTTCGGTTCAGGTCATGATCTCAGGGTCATGAGATTGAGTCCCTCCCACATCAGGCTCTGCACTCCGTGCACTCTGCTTGAGATTTTCTCCCTCTCCCCCAACTCGTGCTCTCTCTCTTAAATAAACTAAAAAAAAGAAAAAGAAAGAAAAAAGAAAACCAACAACAAACCACCAAACCCAAACATTTTTTTAACCCTTCTCTGTGTATCCAAGAAAGAGATCTCTAATATGAGGACTGTAGAGCTCTGACATGCTCAGCATTGACAGCTCAGTCAATGTGCAATCAACCTAGAGAAGGGAAAGAAAGCTAAAATCAAAGGTGTCAGAATAGAGGTCTGAAATATCCCCTGGAGGTTCGAAAGTGGGGCTGAAATGAAAAAGATGAATACTTCATAACTGCTATTCACTTCAGCCCTACTTCAGGTATATGGGTACCAGAAAACAATGTGCCAGACATTGTTTTAGGCCTGGGGATGATATAATGAACAAAATCTAACAAAAACCCTTGGAAGGGGCAGACATTAAAAAAACAAAAAACAAAAACAAGTAAAATATAGTGTCGGATATATCGGATATAGTAGGGAGGGGATCTGGAATGCAGGGGTTGATGGCATTTTTTTTAAGATTTTATTTTGTTTATTTGAGAGAGAGAGAGAAAAAACACAAGTTGGGGGAGGGGCAGAGGGAGAAGCAGACTCCATGCTGAGCAGGAGCCTGACGTGGGATTCAATCCCAGGACCCTGAGACCATGACCTGAGCCAAAGGCAGCTGCCCAACCAACTGAGCCACCCAGGCAGGCAATTTTAAATAAGGTGGTCAGAGAAGGCCTCATCAAGGTGAGAGCTGAGTAGTGATCTGAGTGAAGAAAATGAGGGAACTAATGTGGATTTCTAAGGAGAGTGTTCCAGACAGCATGAAGAGCAAGTACAAGAGCCCTGAGGTAGCATGTTCCAGGGCTCACAGGAACCAGTGTGGCTGAAGTGCAGTGAGCCGCAGCGGGCAGATGAGAGAGGGAGCCTGGGTCAGACTAGATTTCAGTGGGTTTGGTAGACCACAGCAATGACTTTGATTTTTAATGGGGATGATATGGGGAGCCACTAGCAGGTTTTGAGGAGAGGAGTGACAAGATCTGATGTTTCAAAACAATGGCTCTGGTTGCTGTGTGGAGCACAGACTGCAGGGGGCAAGACCAGCCCGCCTGAGCCTGGGCCCAGACATGTGCCACTCCCTCTGAAGGAAGCAACCTTCTCTCCCTCAGTCACTGCTTGATGTAACTAACTTGCAACTCTTTGGATTCAGCTCATGAGCCTTCTGTGGGAGACCTTCTTCCCTCTTCTGTCCCTCTTTTAGGTACCCTTGGCACCCTGCCTTCACAGCACTTACCACAATGGAATGTAACTATCTGTGCTCCTCTAGACCCAAAACACCCCAGGAACAAGGACCTCAACTTTATAGCCCCACTACCCGGCATAGTATAGGCTCAGTAAATACTTAAGGAACAAATAAAAAGCATTTTTACAACCATGTTTTACAAAAATCAACCTTTTCAAGTATAGGAGGGGGTACATAGCCTTACAATACCCAGGGTAAACAAGAGCTAGGGTTTAGGTGATCCTACGTTTAATGAGAACCCGTGACCAAGACCTGGCTGCTTAAAGAAAACACACACCAAGAAAGGGAGGATATACAATTTATACATTAACCTGCTCAGTACCTGCTACAGGTCAGATATTGGGATGAATGTTTTCAGACACCTCTCTCATCTGAACCTTCCGTGGTTAGTAGGATCTCCATTTTACAATGAGGAAATGGGAGATTCAGAAAGGAGTTTTGCCCAAGGACACACAGGTCAACAGAAGAGCTGAATATGCCACTGACCATAACTGATGAGGTCCCTGCCCGCAGAGAGCTCACATTCTGGTGAAGAGACATTCTTTTTTTTTTTTTTTTTTAAGATTTTTATTTATTTAATTGAGAGAGAATGAGCGCAAGTGAGATAGAGAGCACAAGCAGAGGGAGCTGCAGGCAGAGGGAGAGGGAGTAGCAGGCTCCCTGCTGAGCAGGGAGCCCGATGTGGGGCTTGATCCCAGGACCCCGGAATCATGACCCGAGGGGAAGGCAGGCACTTAACTGATTGAGCCACCCAGGTGCCCCAAGATTTCTTTCTTTCTTTCTTTTTTTTTTTTTGATGGCTGATGGCGAAGAGACATTCAAAAATCAAGTAACCATGATTCCTGCAGAGTACAGGGACAGGGCTAGGGGGCAGGGGAATATACTTGGCTAGTGTGGTCTGGAACACCTGAGGATGTAATCTTTAAGCAAAGAACTAAATGATGAAAAAGAAAAGCACTCCAGGCAAAGGACTGAAAGCAAAGCCAGTGAAGTGGAAACAAGTTCGGCATGTTTAAGGAATAGAGAGGGCTAGTATTGCCAATGTTTTTTGATTCTTTGCTAATTTGATAGGCAAAAATCATATAACAGAAAGTCAACTTTTCTTTAACTTTTAAGAGTTATCAGTGAAGTTGAAATGAAACTTATTGACTGTTTACATCTCTCAATTTTGAGTCTTTTGATTTTTCCACATACTTACTGATTTTCAAAAACTTTTGTATGTTAGGAATATTAGACTTTTGACTAGTATATAGTTAAAGATAATAAAAATATTTTTCTGTAAGACTAGAGAATAGTCTTTTCCAACATGATCCCAACCAGTAGGATGGGGCTAGGCCTGGGTGAGTTGGGAATCATGAGGTCTAGAGGGGTCTCCAGGAGACAGAAGGGCACCAGCTATCTATCTGGGTTCAGGAGAAAGTGCTTAAAACAAACCTCAAGTTCAGACTTAAAAGAGCCAACAAGAAAAACTAATGTTGCCAAAAAGCCACAAGCAGCAATCCTAGGCAGGCATCCAAGTCATGCCAGCTCTAGATCAAACTTTGTCATTCTGCAGAGCTAGCCAACTGGTACCAGAAATATGGTGGATATGTAATAGAATGGATATGGAGTCCCTCAGGGTTGGCTCACAATCACAATCCTGTCCTGCTCCTAGAGAGAGCCCAACTAGTATCCTCCGCATCCTGGGTCCTAAGTACTACTAACATGGGTGTCTGCATCAGGCAAGAAACAAGCCTTCTGGGTTCTTTAGTTCCCAGCTGCGAGTTGCTGACAGATAGAAAACAAATAGCAGTAAAACTCCAGGATTATTTATTGGTTCAGCATAAGAGGATTAACCATCAGAAGCATATGATTCACAAAGAAACTGTGACCAATCTGACTGCTAAGCATAAACATTTGTATAATTAGTATTGTAAAATTTGTATAAAACAAAAATGAATCAAGAGGACAAAAAAACCTGCATCTAATATAACAAAAGAGTAATTCCAAAACATCACACAAAAATGATTAAGAAAATAAAAGTCTAGGGGCACCTGCGTGGCTCAGTTGGTTAAACGTCTGCCTTCAGCTCAGGTCATGATCCCAGGGTCCTGGGACTGAGTTCTGCATTGGGCTCCCTGCTCAGGCAGGAGTCTGCTTCTCCCTCTACCCTTCCCCCCTACTCGTGATCTCTCTCCCTCACCTTCTCTCTCTCAAATAAAGTCTTAAAAAAAAGAAAGAAAAATAAAGTCTAAAAGTTAAGTGGGCAAAAAGGATACTAGCAGAAAATATACCTAAGAGAAATTACAAACACACAAACATGTTCACTGTTTCTTGAAAAAGGAGACATTTCATTTCATTCCTAAAAAAATGAAAAATTGTAGCGATGAAGTACCTTTTTTTTTTTTTTTAAGATTTTATTTATTTTTTGACAGAGAGAGAGACAGCGAGAGAGGGAACACAAGCAGGGGGAGCGGGAGAGGGAGAAGCAGGCTTCCTGCGGAGCAGGGAGCCCGATGTGGGACTTGATCCCAGAACCCTGGGATCATGACCTAAGCAGAAGGCAGTTGTTTAACGACTGAGCCACCCAGGTGCCCCTGATGAAGTATCTTTTTAAATCTAGCAGTTATGGCAAAATTGGTACAAAGGCAATTCAACCTTCTGGGAAAGCTATAGAACAACACTACTGCAAGACCCATAAGTTTTGGTCCCTTGGCCTTGAAGTTCTTTTCCTGAGAATTTCTCCTAAGGAAATACTCTAATAATTTTTTTAAAATACTCTACACATACAGAAGTACTCATCACAGCGTTATCTCAACTAATGAAGAGCTAGAAATAACCCAAATGTACACCAGGGGGAATGGTTTCACAAATTATGGTACAGCTATTTTACTATTATTTGGTCACTAAAAATAACTGATCACAAAGGTGATGTAGCAACAAGGTTAAATGTCTTTGGACATTAAATCAAACAAAAAAGAACAAGAATGTACATCTTGAAAAATAGACACATGTGAACCAAGAGGAAGGAGAACATACAAAGATGAAAACAGTTGTGTGGTGAAGTAAAACTAGAGAGAATTATGGATGATTTTTATATCACCATTCTGAAGGGCAATTTGGCAGTTTCTACCGAACTATAAAATATGCATGCCCGAAGTAACACTTCTAGGAATCTATCCTATATCTGACATAGACACTAGCCTGAGCACACACACAAACACAAAAAGATAACAGTTACTGCAGGGGCACCTGAGTGGCTCAGTAAAATGTCTGACTCTTGATTTCGGCTCAGGTCATAATCTCAGGTCCCTGGGATGGAGACCAGAGTCCAGCTCTGTGCTCAGTGGGGAGTCTGCTTGAGAATTCTCTCTCCCTCTCCCCCCGCCCACTTGCATTCTCTCTCTCAAATAAATAAATCTTTAAAAAAGAAGACAACAGTTATTGCAGCACTGTCTACAGTGAAAAACTGTAAATCACCTAAATGTATTTACTGCAATGGAATATCCCCTTAAAAAGAATGAAGATTTGTATATATTGCCATGGAAAAATGTTTGGTATTTTTAAGTGAACAGTGTAAGCTTTAGAAGGAGATATCTCTTTCTATATATAGCCTAAAGTAAACTTAATATGTAGAAATATAAACGTTCCAGTTTCATGTGATAAACAGCTTATATATAAATGTGCTTATGCACTAATCAAATCTAGGAGGAAACACACCCAACTGCCAACAGTCGTTTACCATAGCAGAGTGATCTGGGTACCACATGCACTTTCTACATTACATACTTTGAAACTGCTTGAATTGCTTAATATGTGCATCTAAATATGTTTTGCCTGTATGAGTATAAACACACAGTAGCATGGTACAGGTTACAGTAAACTACCATTTGTGTCAGAAAGAGAGGGAGCAGGGGCGCCTGGGTGGCTCAGTCAGTAAAGCGTCTGCCTTCAGCTCAGGCCATGATCCCAGGGTCCTGGGAGGACTGCTTCTCCCTCTCCCTCTCCCCCTGCTTGTGTTCCCTCTCTCACCATCTCTCTCTCTGTCAAATAAACAAATAAAATCTTTAAAAAAAAAAAAAAAAGAAAGAAAGAGAAAGCCTATACATGCCTGTATTTGCGTGTAGATATATAAGAAACTAATTTTCAACTCTGGAGACTGAGGCTGGGGATCAGGGCTGAGTGGGAGATTTATTTTTCAGTTAGATCCTTTCAGATTATTTTTTCTTACTGTGTGCAAGTATCATCTGTTAAAAATTAATTTTTTTTACAGTTTAAAAAGTGATGTGAAAGATGAAGTTACATATGTTTTAGTGATGTAAACACATTCTCTGTGGTGTAATAATAAATGAAAAAAGCAGAGTCCACAATTGTACATTCAACAGGAGCTAAACTATATTAAGCGAAAACTGAAGACAGAAAGACAAGAATATGTCTTCTAATTATAAGTGCTTGCCTCTAGGTCATGGCACTGTTCCTTTTTCCTTTGCCATTTTTCTTGTGGGCTTTACATTTTTAAATAAGATTTCTGATTTCACATTTCAGAAGTCTCTTCAAGCTTTCTACAAGTCAGGAGGATAAAAAACACGAGAAAAGCCTACAAAGGCATAAAGAGCCAACAGTTCCTGCCAGCAAGGTTTTGGGATGCCCAAGGGTGGACCCCGTCGATTTCTGATTCATGCACCAAGTTCCAGACGCTCGAAAAAACCACAGGGACGGAAAGGCGTCAGTCAAGCTTCTAGGTTCAAATCAACCTCCGCCATTTCCCGAGGCAAGGCACTTCGTTTCACTCGGCTTTAGACTCCCAAGTATGTCAAATGGGGATACTGGTCGCACCTACCTCACAGAGCTCTGGCGAGAAGGAGAGCCAAGATACGGAAAGCGCTTAGCACTGCCTGACACAAATTAAGCTCCCAGGAAACATTATTGTTATCGCGCAACGAGGCCCGGGACGCTAGGATGCAGGGGCCTGTGAGCCGGCCTCCCCATCTCCGTCAGACCTTGCCGAGGCCCCAGCTCCTGCTTCCGGTCAAGGGTCAGAGGGATCCGGTGGCCCCCACTTGGTCCCCTCTGTCCCCTCGGTCCGGGTCTGGAGGCCCGCGCTGCCCGGGTTCCGCCCTTCCGTCAGCTCGGGCCCAGCCCTGCCCAACCCTGCCCAGCCCCGCGGATTCCCAGCCCGGCACTCTGAGACGCCCCCGGAGAATGGAGGGCCAGGCGCAGGGTGGTGGGCGGCCGTACTCGGCCACCTTCCGGCCGCCAGCCACAAGCTCCGGGCGGACACTCACCATCTCCAAACAAACGGGTAGCTCCGCGACGCCGGCACTCCGTCCAGTCCCGGTACCTTTCCGCGCCTGCGCACAGCACCCCTGTCAAAACGGACAGCTCTGGTAGCCTATCAGGAGCCAGCGTGGGACGGGTGGACGGGCGGATCTTTGCTCCCCCAGGGCTTGTAGGGAATTTACCAGGCACTGTCCGAAAGTGAAAAGCAGAGGAGCGCTTCAGCTATGAAAAATTCACAATTCCTTCTGTGCCGATGCTGATTAGTGGTGTCAGAAGAGGATCTCAACTCTCAACCGAGGTCTGAGCTGGCTCTGGAAACCCTGGGTGGACGGTGGTGGGCGAGTAGGAAAGCGAGGTCGGGGGTTGCTAAGACCCCCTTTGCGCCCTCCTATTAAGGCAAAATGAGGCGCGGTGCCAAAATGCACCGAAGGCACAGTAAAGTCAGGTAGTGGGACTGGAGTCATGCATCTCTGGGGTCTCCAGAGCGACCCCCTTAGGAATATTCCGGGCAGGTTCTCAGATGGGAGTGGTCAGGGCTGGCCTGGAAGTATGCAGGTTTAGGACTCCGGAGTTCAGCTCCACCCCTGGGTTACCTTGGAGAAACCACTTTACATCTCTGTGCTCCCTCATTTTCTCACCTTTAAAAGGGGGGAGCCTTCTTCGCAAAGCCCTACGTTGTCCTATTTTCTGTTCTTTTGCCTTTGTTAGAAAACAAAATTCGTTGGAGTAAATTTGAAGATCTAATTGGCTTTTTTTTTTTAATTTTTTTTTTTTAAAGATTTTATTCATTTATTTGAGAGAGAATGAGATAGAGAGAGCATGAGAGGGGGGAGGGTCAGCGGGAGAAGCAGACTCCCTGCCGAGCAGGGAACCCGATGCGGGACTCGATCCCGGGACTCCAGGATCATGACCTGAGCTGAAGGCAGTCGCTTAACCAACTGAGCCACCCAGACGCCCCTCTAATTGGCTTTATTACACGAGTCATGAATCGGGCAGCATCCCAGGTAAGTAAATAAGAGGGAAGCTCTCCTGAGCTATACAAAGACTTTTACAGTCAGAGAGAGGGCATAAAAAAAGAAAGCAATTTATCAGCAAGGAACGAATTATTTAGGCCCTTATAAGGGGAGAGGAACGGGTCAGTAAATTTACTAGTATTGACCGGGAAATTCCATGTTGACTGGTTCAAGATTACATTCCTGGGGAGGTTGCTCAATTCAACACAGATAATCTAACTCCAGTTTTTCATTCCACAGCAGCCTCTCTTAATTAGGGAAGAATGTAGTGCTACTTCCAGGGGGGTCTGGATGTTAAAAGGATCGGATAGTGACTTTACAGTAAAGTGAGAAAACTGGACAGACACCATCTTAATCAGAGGATCAAGGTTAACATTACTAGTAATGGAATATAAAGGCTTTGGAGTCACAGTCCAGAATTTCAGTTTGCACTCTTGCCACTTAATAGCCTCAAGTTAATCACTTTGAGCTCCCATTTTATTATCTGTAAAATAGAAACAATCATCCCTGAAAGTGGCCAGGAAGACTAAAAGTTGCATGTGGCATATCTAACAATGTTTAGGACATAGTAATAAATGTTGATAGTTGTCCTGGGACTAAGTGAATACAGGTGTGGTATTGGTTGCTAGGATGGGGAAGACAAACAGAAGAGCAGGTCTGAATTAGAAATGAGGAAAAATAATAGTATGAGTGTTTTCACCGTAGATATGACTGCAAATCCTCAAGGTCCTGTCCTGTGAGGTGCCTTGAGGAAACCCTCTTGCCCACAGCAGCTTTGCTTAATGGGAACCTGTTAATAAGGGACCTTCTGAGGTCTTCACCGAAGACCCTCCTCTCCTTGCCAAACAGCAAGATATCCTGGAATCCTCCCGGCAAATGTCCTGACCACAAAGGAGCTCTACAGACACATAGGTTTGTTAACTGAAATAGGCTGGGAATGACAGCAATTTCTGTTCTAGAGTTACACAACAGGAGACATTTCCTAAAAGTCCAGATAACAGCAGTCGGCCACAGCTGAGTCTTGTTCGATGTTTTTTGTATGGTTTGGGACCAGAAAGCCAAATGGTAAGAACAACTATTTCCCATGGAAATTTTCCACATGCTGGGAGGTACCAGTCTTCCCCCATTTTCTCAGCCACACTGAAACTAGATCTTTCTAGCTGCTTATTTGAAACATTAAACAGGATAGGGTCTACTTCTCCGGACCTAGGAGGGACCTGCAGTTTCTGTCCTCTAGTCACCGTTAGTTCAGCATTAAAAACAAAAACGAAACCAAAAACCAAAACCAAACCAATCCCCTTAGTCTCTCACCACTGGTTCCATTTTAAATGAGAGCATGATCACCTGGTGTCCTAATAAGAAAAAGGTCTACTGAAGCTAGAGAGTAGGACAGCTTTTTGAGGTCAGTCTTGGTAACGAGCTGGTGGTTCTCTACTCAGCACCCATGCTGGAGTCCTGTTTTAGAGCACCTTTAGTTGTCTTAGAAAAGCAGATGTCTTCATTTTGGTTCTCTTCAACATAGGTGACAAATCCAGTCTCACCTCAGTGGGTCTTTCTAGTTTTTTCTACCTACTCCACAGTACAGGCAGGTTATAACCTCCCCACTTAAAAAAGCAGAGAGGCAGAAATCTATACAACTCAATCATACAGAAAGAAGGCTTCACTGTAGGTAGGGAAAACCTCCTTACTCAAGACTAACAGAACAGTGTGCAAATAAAGGACCAAAAAAGTTTAATTATAAACGCAGTCTTACATCTGTTAAGGAAATGCAAGTGAGGCAGCCCCGTGAAGGACCCTTATAAGAGCACTTGACTCCCTGTGATAGTTGTAGAGTTACCTGAGTATTTGAAGTTACAGTTCAAGAAAACAAAGGAACTCCAATACAGTAATACACAATCCAGTGCTGCCATTCCGTTTTTAGTAAATGAAAGCATACCATATATACAAATTCTTTTGTAAATAACTCTAATAAAAGAAAAACAAAAAATAAGGGGGGGCTGGAGATACCAACAATATTAAGTAGAAGTAATTAACCTAAAGGAGTTCAGATGGAATTACATCCAAAGCAAGGAGGGTAGTATAGAAATAAAGTCTAACTCCATGAGTCATCCCTGGTAACATTTTAGATTATTAACCAGATAAAAAGTGGCAGAGTGGGCTTGACTGAAATAGTTCATTTAGGATGAGATCTCTGTGGGCAAGTGAGTCATTTTTCACTTAAATTTCTGATGCATTAACATTGATACATCAATCTCTTGAAGAAAAATTAATACCTGAATTTTAAATAGAGTTATTGTAAGTCTTATGAAATTAGATTCTTCTGCACTCTGATACAAGATCATAAAAGACAGAGCAGGAATTTATTATTATGAGCTGCTGGATCAGTTTTAAACCACTTTATCTGATGAAATGAGTGAGGTCCTTCCCTCCTGACCCAGGCTGTGAAATGCTGCCTTCCCCAATCTCCCAAAAGAGCAGAAGAATAAGGCAATTGCTCATTTTACTTTGTTTTTATTTCAACATAACATGCAGTAAAAAAAAATTAACAGGATTTATTAGCATTTACAATGCTTACAAAGAAAAAGGACTCTAAAAGCAATTTAGTTCAGATTTAAGAAATCGCTCTAATTGAACACTTACAATAAATCTATTTCCAAATGTTCAGTTTGGACCAAAGTTTAAAATAGCATTTGGTAGGTATTTATGTCTGCTGTCTATTTGTAGTATTTTTATATAACCTCTGATTCTTGGGATATCCAGCCCCCATTTTCCTAACACAGCAGGGAAGACATATACATGTGGCCATTTAAATTAAAGGAAGAAATGGAGTAAGGGAGATCCCAGGCTGCAAAAATATATACAAGCATTTACCTTTTCCAGAACTAAACGTTTCTTCCATAAAAATATTAAATAGCCAAGCCCTATAGAACTAGGGCTGGGGCTACTTCAAATATAACTATTCTGTATTTTAAAAATATAGGGCAGAAAGCCTTTTGGGTAGTATTTATACATTTTCACACAATATTTCTAGGTCCCTAAATGAATTATCAAGCACTATGTAGAACCAAAAAGAGTCTACTTTTTTTTACATTATTTAATTTAATCTCATAAATCTCTAGTAAATATTGTAGATAACTACATTTTAAGAATTCACCTCAATAGTAAGACTTTATAGAAGGCTTTATCTCCACAGCCATATATTACCAAAGTTCAGATTTATATAATGAATGGATAGTTGGCAGACATTCGCTCTGTAAGACAAAGCAATAGCATTTCCCCCCTACCAACAAAAAGGCAGAGTCCCTACTTGGAAACAACTACGGCTTTTAAGAGACCATACACTTCCTGGAGTATATGGAATAAAAAACAAAGATAGGGTTGGGGAGAACCTAATCTCCCCCCTTTACACTGACAATTTGTAGATGAGGCAACCCTTTCACTCACTTAAGTCTGCTTTATGATGGCAGTGTTTTAGAGCACAGTTACACAAGTTTAAAAATGTTTTTGTTGTTGTTCCAGAATGTAAGAGTAGTTAGGGACAAAGAAAAACCATTTTCTTTCCATGTGGAACAGGGTTTGCTACTCTCTGCTTATTTTTGGCTCAGTGCTACTTGTTCATGTTATGCTACTGAAACCTGCCAAAGTCCTGTTTCATGAACTATGAGGCTGTCCTCAGGGTTCAGCTGTGATGGGGACTCAGCTGACTGAGGCTTCATCCCACTGTCCATAAAGTTAAACCTCTGACAGCAGCCTTCCTGACAGAGTCTAAGTTAGGCCAAGTTAAAAGAATTAACTATAGAGACATTCAAAAGTGCACTAATCACATATCAGTGGAGCAGTATGAAATTAAATAGTCATGGGAAAAAGAAGGAAAAGCCTGTTAAAATTTTCTGGAGTGAACAGAATATCCAATTCAGGACAATGTAAAGAATGGAAAGGACTACTCCAAGGTGTCAGAGAAATGGTAATTTGAAGACTTTTAAATCATACAGAGAATACATTTCTGTGGTTACTAGAAATGTATTGCTAGTAAATGTATTACTCCCTTCTTTTTAGCCAGTACCACAGCTCTCCCTCCCTAATGAAAATGTAATTTAGAGGATGTTTCATTGACCTCTTTCTTTGGGTGTAAAGTACTCTAGTTATAACTTGAATTCCTTAGCAATAATTAAATATAACTGAAGTTGTTGGATTATGATAGATGCAATTTACATATAGGAACATACAAAAATTGTCAATGATGGCCTTTGATGAATTTAGCTAAATTAATTCCAATTCTAGATTAACTTTTATAAAACCACCATGGAGGAAGTACAGTGTTAATATTGTTTGTAAAGTTTAGTATTTGCAATTAAAACAATAAAACTTCCAAATGAAGAGAGTTATAGGGCCATTTGCAGGCTGGGACCAACTTCTCCCTGAATTCAAAGTAACAAAACTGCTTTGTAGGGCGATGCAAGAGTCTTGCATCACTTTCCAAGGATAACAGCAAAATGATGCATGGATTCATGCTCCGGAAGGAAAAACAACAGTCAGGCCAGGCTGAAATGAGAGGGAGAGCACAAGCCAGAAGTTTGCTCACATCCCCAGAAGCTGGGCTAAGTTTGCACTTTTAACAAATACCTCTCACCACGAGGCTTAAGATCTTACATATTTCATGTACCAAGGGACTTCCCTGCGTATCTGCAGAAATCTCTAAAAGAAAAAAATCTCCCAAGTGAGACTTTTGACACACATATACAAAACTGTTGTTAAGGTAACAATCTAGTGGAGTAAGACAAGGCAGATTTCATTGCTGTGTTAAATCTCATGTTAAGCAAGGTTTGATTAGTCATTTGCAGATCTGATTTCTGGAAACACTGAGTAGAAATCCAGAATCACTGGGAGAAAAATCTCAATGATAACATTAATTTACTTACACTCAACTCTCTAAACAGTCACAGCCCAATTTTACAACAAGATGTGCAATAAGCAGAGAAGGAAAAGGACAGACATTGCAAATAAGTTCTTGTCCTTTGGTGGCACAAGTTCTTGGAAGTTACTCTTGTCCAAATCCTTCTGTTTCTTCAATGGCAAATAACAGCTTTTCTTTCAGTTGCTCATAGCTCTTGTACGGTGGCAGGTCCAGGCGGTTAAAACTAAAAGTAAGAATTGTTAGCTTGAGAAAAGGAAATATACAAAGAATCATATGAGCAGTCCAGTATATAACAACATTGGTTTTAAAGTCAGGCAAAATTGAGTTCAAATCCCAGCTCTGTCACTGGGCCTTTGAACAAGTGCTTTTACCTTTCTCAATTTTGGTTTCTTCTTTGGTAACATGGGAATAACAATATTTATCTTTCAGGGTAGAGTGAAGAACTAACAAGTGTATATAGAACACAGGGCCAAGAGTTACTCCCCTCATACTCTCCCATTCACCCTAATCTAAATTAGTGGTCAGCAAACTTTTTCTGTGAAGGGCTAGATAGTAAATATAGGCTTTGCAGGCCACAGGTCTCTTATCAAAAGGTTTTTAGTACAGATCTTCCTTGACTTACGACGGGGTTACATGTGGATAAACCTATGATAAGTTAAAAATATCATTAAGTCAAAAATGCATTTTAATACATCTAACCTGCCAAACATCATAGCTTAGCCTAGTCTACTTTAAATGTGTTAAGAACAGCTTCATTAGCCTACAGTTGGGCACAATCACTGAACTCAAAACCTATTTTATAATGAATTGTTGAATATCATGTGATTTATTGAATACTGTACTGAAAGTGAAAAGCAGAATGGTTGTATGCATATAGACTGGTTTAAATATACTGGTAGTTTACCCTGATGATTGCTGGCTGATTGGGAGCTGCAGATCACTGCCACTGCCCAGCATCATGAGAGAGTATCATACACATATTGCTAGTCCAAGAAAAGATCAAATTCAAAATTCAAATTACAGTTTCTACTGAATGTATATTACTTTCACACCATCATAAAGTCAAGAAATCTTAAGTCAAACCATCTTAAGTTGGGGACTGTCTGTGTACTACTTAAACAATTTTCTGCTTTAATATCTGATATTCTATTCCTACTGAATTTCTCTGTCCTATTCTTGGCTGTGAGGTTTTAAAGGGCATCTTCTAATTTGGGGCCATATTATCATCACCTTTATAAGGTAGTGAGTTTGCCATAAGGCTCTGGCCCCTCTGCTATATTTTAAGGATAAGGCCTAGGCAAATGTTTGACATCAGAAGAAATAATGCTATCCACAAAGGGAAAATAAATCTACAATCATAACTTTTGTTATTTCTTGCAAATGAAAACCTGGAACTTAACAAAGTAATGAGGCTGGGTTTTGTGTGTGACTGAGATAAACTGTTCACAGGAGTGTAATGGTTCAATCTGTTCCAAGTTTGAAAAAATCAAATCAAAAATGTATTTGTACATGTGTACAAGGTGAATGTACAAAAATCAACTGTATTTCTGTATACTAGCAATGAATAATCTTAACAATCTGAAATGAAATTAAGAAAACAATTCCATGGGGAGGGGGGTGGGAGGATGGGTTAGCCTGGTGGTGGGTATTGAGGAGGGCACATTCTGCATGGAGCACTGGGTGTTATGCACAAACAATGAATCATGGAACACTTCATCTAGAACTAATGATGTAATGTATGGGGATTAACATAAGAATAAAAAATATATATATATACTAAAAAAAACAAACAAACAAACACCAATTCCATTTATAATAGCTTCAAAAAGAATAAAGTACTTCCCCCAAACTGATCTACACATTCAAAGCAATTTGTATCAAAATCCCAGTTGACCTCTTTGTAGAAATGGACAAGCTGATCCTAAAATTCATATGGAAATCCAAAGGACTGGAATAGCCAAAACAATCTTGAAAAAGTTGGGAGAATTCATACCTCCTAATTTCAAAACTCATTACAAAGCTATAGTAATCAAGACAGTGTAGTACTACCATTAAGGAAAGGCAAATATATCAATGGAATAGAACTGGGAATCCCGAAATAAACCCATGTATTTATGGTCAACTGATTTTCAACAAATGTGCCAATGTTATATTTTAAAAACCATGTGTATGTATATGAATGAAAATATAAAGGAACAGACACTAAAACAAATATAAAGGGCAGATGGGAGAAATAAAGGAATATCCAGCAAGGTTACTGAAATGTCTCACAAAATAAAGTTCAAATATTGTTGATGTTAGGTGGGATTCCAACATACTGTATTTGAATTAAAATTAGGGTTGTTTTTAGTTCTGTACATTTTTGGAAATGTGGTTAAGTTACATTTATAATGAGAAAATATTTCTGTTCTCCCAAAAGCTATGAAAGCTTGATTTCTTCTGCTTTCAGAGAAAAGTTAAAGTTAAAAGTTTTCCTAGTATCACATTAAAAAAAATTCAGGAGTAGGAAAAGGGACTGACTACAAATGGGCATAAGGGATCATTCTGGAGTGACAGAAATAATCTAAAATTGGTTGATGGTTACTACTCTGTAAATCTACTAAATATCACTGAAATTAAATGAGTAACCTTATGATCTTTAGTAGTTTTACTGTACATAAATTATGCCTCGATAAAGCTATTATAACTAATTCAATACCATGGGGAAATACTTCATTTCTAATTTCCAACAGGCTTTAATATCTACAGGGTAACTGGAAAAAGGCTATTCTCTCTACTCTTTCTGATTTTACTTACCATGTATGACTTCTGGGTAACCAATTTTCTTTTCCAACTTTTTCAATGCAGAATTTTTGTGGTCCATTGCTCCCTAAAACAGTGAAATCATCAACAGTTTGATACTCAGTGCTTCTCAAGTTGTGACCCCCTCAGTCGAGCAGCATCAGCATCACCCGGGAACTTTTAAGAACCACAAATCTGGGGCTCCTGGGTGTCTCAGTCAGTTGAGCATCCAACTCTTGATTTCAGCTTAGGTCATGATCTCAGGGTTGTGAAATCAAGCCCTGCATCAGGCTCCGTGCTCAGCGTGGAGTCTGCTTGGGTTTCTCTCTCTCCCTCTCCCTCTGCCCATCTCTCCACTTGTGCACGTTCTCTCTCTAAAATAAATACAATCTTTAAAAGGAAAAAAAAAACAAACACAAATCCATAGGCCCTACCCAAAGCCTACTGAACTGAATCAGTAGTTTGTGTTTGAACAGGCTTCCAAGTGATTCTGATGAATACTAAAGTTTGAGAACCATTTTGTTAATGTATGCCCAAGAGATGAAAATGCAGTTGTATCTGGCACTCCTTTGCCAGAATAAGAGAATGCTATAACTAGTATACCTAATAAAAGAATACCTAAAGAGCTTAATTTTAGCTTTAAACACAAGAGGAAAACTACAATCCACTGTCTTATACAATAAAACTTTATTTAAATCTAACCTAGCAAGTTCAATATTAACAATGCTTGTGCTTATAGGTCCTGCAGAACCCTTATACACTTATACCCACTTCTTGTCCCTCCTCTCAGTTACCTTCTGTTATAGACAGAGTGAATGGTGATCCTGAAGCACTGGTTTTCTAAAAGGTCACTACCAATCCCGAGAAAGCATTTATTGGTAGTCACAATGACTGGTAGTGTTACTGGACTTTAGAAGGGTCCAGGCAAACTAAATGTTCTGCAATGTGTGAGACAGTCATACTCAAAGAATATTCTTATGTCCTTATGTCCCTCTTGACTAGTACAAATATGCATTGGTAGTACTTTTGATTTAATAACATCAAAGTATCTGCACAAGCAGTTATGTGAAAAGTCCAGTAAGACAGGAAATGGTGATTATGAAAAAGAATAGTTAAAATTATTAAGCTCAAAATTATGTTAACTCACTCTGAACATTGTCTCTACTCAATACAGCATTTCTAACCACAAAGATGGAATGTTTGTTTGTTTGTTTTTTAAAGATTTTATTTATTTATTTGAGAGAGAGAGAATGAGAGAGAGCACATGAGAGGGGGGAGGGTCAGAGGGAGAAGCAGACTCCCTGCCGAGCAGGGAGCCCGATGTGGGACTCAATCCAGGGACTCCAGGATCATGACCTGAGCCAAAGGCAGTCGCTTAACCAACTGAGCCACCCAGGCACCCAAATATGGAATGTTTTAATAGTGCTAATTAATATATAACAGAAGAGTTTGGATTGCATTCAAAAGACATAGAATCAAATATTAAAAGAGAGAAATAGGAAATGATGGGATCTTAGTGAATTTCACCAATAAAGGCTATCTTACAAATATGTCATCTCATCCTAAATGCTTTCTAAAACTTTATGGAATGGTAAGACATCAAGTTGTATATATTATATATACTGAAATTATTTTTAGGTTGCCTGCTGTTTTTAATCTTACTCTGACATTGCCCCTAAACCACACAAGTTCTATGTGGACTCTTGCACCTATGTGCCTATTTTCAACCCATTTCAACTTTCAAATAATATGGTCTCTGAGGACTTTTTATGTATCAGAGCCTTGGCCTGTGGTGGAATTTCATCATAGACACCACCTCATTTTTCTCTACTTTGATCATCTGTAATTTATTTTGGCACGTCTATTATCCCTACTTCATTTCGATTATTTCCCTGTTTTTCTTTCTTCTTCTTTTTTTAAGTAGGCTCCACACCCAGCATGGAGCCCAATGTGGGGCCTGAGCTCACAACCGTGAGATCAAGACCTGAGCCGAGATCAAGACCTGAGCCGAGATCAAGAGTTGGATGCTACACCGACTGAGCCACCCAGGTGTCCCTCCCTCTTTTTTTTTTTTTTTTTTTAAAGATTTTATTTATTTATTTGACAGAGACAGAGATAGCGAGAGCAGGAACACAAGCAGCGGGAGTGGGAGAGGGAGAGCAGGCTTCCCGCCGAGGAGGGAGCCCGATGTGGGGCTCGATCCCAGGACCCTGGGATCATGACCTGAGCCGAAAGCAGACGCTTAACGACTGAGCCACCTAGGCGCCCTCCCTCTTTTTCTTAACCATATTTAATTAAGTCTATTATTTCTTGCCCTTTCTTTTAATTTATTTTAAAGATTTTATTATTTATTTGACAGAGAGAGCACAAGCAGAGGGAGAGAGAGGGAGAAGCAGGCTCCCTGCTAAGCAAGGAGTCCGAGGTGTGACTCGATCCCAGGGCCCTGGGATCATGACCCGGGCTGAAGGCAGCCGCTTAACCGACTGAGCCACCCAGGCATCCCTATTTATTATTTTTTTTAAAGATTTTATTTATTTATTTGACAGAGACACAGCGAGAGAGGGAACACAAGCAGGGGGAGTGGGAGAGGGAGAAGCAGGCTTCCCGCAGAGCAGGGAGCCCGATGCGGGGCTCTGTCCCAGGACCCTGAGATCATGACCCGAGCCGAAGGTAGATGCTTAACAGTTGAGCCACCCAAGCGCCCCTCTTTTATTTTTTTTAAAAGATTTTATTTGTCAGAGAAAGCGAGTGGACAAGTAGGGGGAGCAGCAGGGAAAGGGAGAAGCAGGCGAGCAGGAAGCCTGACGCGGGGCTCGATCCCAGGACCGCGGGATTATGACCTGAGCCGAAGGCAGACACTTAACCAACTGAGCCACCCAGATGTCTCTATTTCTTGCTCTTTCTATCTGTTCTTTCATATTCTAGTGTTTCTTATACAGAAAGGTTTCTGATCTTATCTTAAACCCAAACCTTTTAAGTAGGAACAAGTATCTACTAACTAGTATCTTCTAACAGTTGTTCCCAAATATACATTGATTGAGATAAATATTTCATTATAAGTCACTGCTTAAAAATTTTAGTGCTAAGTTTATTTTTTTTTGAGTTTGTAGGTACTTTTATTTCATGTCTACCAATTTTATTCCAGAATATTGTAGAGGATATTATAAATATTTGTTATAGAAATGGGATGTTAGATCTGTCAAGGTTGAGAACCATCACATTACATTGTTATATACATCATTCTTGTAACTTCCTCCTCCTACACTGGGTGGAAGGTTAAACTAGATGGCTTCTAAAAGTCTGTGAACCACAATCTCCTCTTGGCCTTCCACAGGTATCCTCCTGTGTTATTTTAGATAGCTCCACCCAACCCAAATATTATTCCCAAGAGCAGACTTAGTTCTCATCTCTTAAATGATCAGATCTCTAGTTTATACTGAAGCTTACACCAGTTTTTACTCATTTTGGTCATTACCTTACTTCCTGAACCACCAACATGGTTTTTCTTTTTCAAATTAAGAGAGCATTCTCAAAAGGTGCCCCTCTCCAAAAACTTAAGTGATAATAAACCTTCTCTGAGACCTCTCTGGTGCTGGATTAAAAATCTCCTTTCTATATTGCTTCTGAGAGACCAGAATATTTAGTTCTCCTCTCCTCTCTGGGCTCCAAATTCTTTAAGTCTGCCTCTAGGCTATTTGTCTCATCCCTAAAAACAAGTGTTTCTAAGCATCAGCCCTCTACTCTTTGCATTCTATTTCTGCATAAGCCAACCTATTCTAATAGCTTCAAGTGTCACTGCTCTACTCTTACCTCTAAGCTCCTACTTTGGCAACACCTACTAAACTGCCCCTCTGGCTCCCTGGTTTTCTTCTGATTGTCTGGCAGTTGCCTTGAACTCAAGAGGTTCTAAGCCACTCGTTATCTTCCCTCAAAACCTCTAAACCATGTTCTTTACACTTTACAACTTCTCCATTTCTCTATTTTTCAAAACATGGTTTTATCCTTGGCATTCTTCCTTTATATCTCATCTTCTAATCAAGTCCTATTTCTACCTTTGAAACTTCTCTAGCATTTATCCCTTCTTTTCCACCCCTACCTCCATCTCCTAAGATCAACTGCTCCAGTATTTTCTTCCTCTCTTCAGGGTTTCCCTTATCCTTTAATGCATGCTATACCTTGCTATCAAATCTTCCTAATATGCAGCTTCAGCAAGTTTTCCTCTCTTCAAAAGTTTCCACAGCTTCTAATACCCTCAAAGTAATGTCCAAAATTCTTCTGGTATCCAAAACTTTTAGTTTTAGTCACTGTATCCAAAACTGCCTTCTTAGTTCTTCAGTTCTCTCTGCTTCAGCTGAAACAGGCTTAGGGATCATAACTTCTGTTCTCCTGTGGTACCTGGCATAATGCTGGTGTTAAAGATTTAATTTACTTAATTTATTATCAGTCACAAAAGTATTTTCATGGTCATTCATTTCCAAACAACACACATTTTGATCGGTGACTACTATGTGACAAGCACTATGCTAGGCACCAGAAATAAAAAGATGAAGATATATGGATCTGTATCTCAAGGAGCTCCAGGTATAATAGAGGAGTGTTAAGCACATCATTAAAATATAACACAACCAACAGTGCCTGGCTCGTAGGAGACACTAAAATGTTTGCCAATTTACATATAGAATATTGCTATCCTATGAAGTTAAAATGTGGGATCCAGCCTTAGGGTTAAAAATTTCTATGGGGAGCCTGGGTAGCTCAGTTGGTTAAGCGACTGCCTTCGGCTCAGGTCATGATCCTGGAGTCCTGGGATCGAGTCCCGCATCGGGCTCCCTGCTCGGCAGGGAGTCTGCTTCTCCCTCTGACCCTCCTCCCTCTCATGCTCTCTGTCTCTCATTCTCTCTCTCTCAAATAAATAAATAAAAAATCTTAAAAAAAAAAAATTTCTAGAGGTAAGGACTACAAAGTGAATTAATAGTTTATACAAATCCAGGTGAACTGTGACTGGTTGGGAAAATGTCTATTCTCTGTTATTTCTGTTAAGTTTTATACACGCTGATTTGATATAACCATGTGATAAACAATTTTCTGTACAGGAAAAGTGATCCTGTATACATACCCATGAGGTCAGCAAATCCTCCAACTGGCAATCGGCAGGTTCCAGTAACAAACTGCAGAAGTCTCATTCTCTTCTCATTATCAATTTCTTTAACAAACTGTTAAAAAAACAGCACACACAAAGATATATATATATATATGGTCCTATGTTACGTTTAGCATAAACAAGAATGAAAAACGATCATTTCAAATGAACTCCCAGTGTTAGATGCACTAGATAATGACTATACCCCACCACTGTGGATGGAGGAGCTTCTCCATGTTCGTCAAAGCCCTGCCAACCTTCCCCTACATAAATCTTAGGACCACATCCTTTCAGGGAGATAGAAAGAGAAGGGTGCCCTCTGCCTAAGAGCTCCCTACTCACAAAGTCTCAAGATGAGCTCTTTTAGAGCAGCCCCTTATTTTACCTCCCAGATATGGTTGTCCTACAGGATACTGACGTGGTTTCATGGGACACAGAGCTTAAGTCAGTATGGACTTTTTGGTTTTATGAACAAATGAGATCAAGCTCATAGAACTCTGATCCAGATATATCCCAATAACCTCCTTCTCTCAACATTCTCTAGGTTTTGGTGTAGCTATATACTATCAGAATCAGGTGGCTTTCAACTCCTACAACTCTGGTTCAAAACATTAGGTTTATGGAAGATGCCTTCTAGCCTGTAGCACAAGTATTTTGACTCAGCCAAATATTTTTTGTGAATAATTTTTATCCTATTGTACTACTGTCAAGTATTTTAAAAGGCTAATCCTGTTTGCTATAGAAGCTCAGTTTATTTGGGTTTCTTATTAATTTCTTTACATAAGTAACAGACATCTAAAAAATTTTTATTTTTATAGTGGTAAAATACATATAACATAAAATTTACCATTTTAAGCACACAATTCAATGGCATTAAGTATGTTCACAGTACTGTATTACTATTACCACTATTTCCAGAATTTTATCATCCTGAACAAAAACTCTGAATTCATGAAACTTATTTCCTCATCCCCAACAGCCCATGTTAGCCTCTATTCTACTTTGTCTCTATGAATTTGCCTCTTCTAGATACCTCATATAAATGGAATCATGGAATCATACAACGTTTATACCTTTGTGACTGGCTTATTTCACTCAGCATAATATTCTTAAGGTTCATCCCTGTTGTAGCCTATCAGAATTTCCTTTCTCCTGAGGGTTGCTGGAGTGCAGGGGGGTGGGAGGGATGGGGTGGCTGGGTGATGGACATTGGGGAGGGTATGAGTTGTGGGGAGCGCATACTGTATATTGTGAAGTATATTGTGAAGACTGATGAATCACAGACCTGTACCCCTGAAACAAATAATACATTATATGTTAATAATAATAATAAAAGAATTTCCTTTCTCTTTAAGGCTGGATAATATTCCATTGTATGTGTATACCACCTTTTGTTTATCCATTCATCTGTTGATGGACACTTAAGTTGCTTCTACCTTTTGGCTACTGTGAATAATGCTGTTATGAATATAAGTACACAATAAGTGTTTGCTTTCACTTCTTTTGGGTATACCTAGTAGAACTGCTGGATATGTTAATTTATGTTTAGCTTTTTGAGGAGCCATCAAATTGTTTTCCACAGTTGTGCACCACTTTACACTCCCACCAGCAATGCAGGAGAGTTCCAATTTCTCTACATCCTCAACAAGGATGATTATTTTCTGTTTCTTGATAATAGCCATGACAGTAATGGATACGAAATGGTATCTCATTGTGGTTTTGACTTGCACTTCACTAATGATTAGTGATTTGAGCATCTTCTCTTGTGCTTATAGCAGGTATTTTTTGAAGACACACCATTATGATTCCAAACCAGGTTGCTCCCTTAAGTTTTGCCTTCTAAACATTATATAATTCTTAATGAGGTATGAATGATGAAAACCATACTTGAGACAGTTCCATAAAATTCCAAAAGTATTTACATCAAATGCAGGGGAATCATCATCTGAAGTTGTCTTATACCCTCAGCAAAGGTGCAAGGTGTGTGTTGCTTACTCAGCAATAATTTTTTTTAAATACTGTTATAATCTTTTTTTAAAAAAAATTTTAATTCCAGTATAATTAATATACAGTATTGTATTAGTTTCAGGAGTACAATAGTGATTCAACAATTCTATACATTACTCAGTGCTCATCATGATGAGTGTACTCTTAAGCCCCTTCACCTATTTCACCCATCCCTCCACCCACCTCCCCTCTGGTAACCATCGTTTTGTTCTCTCTAGTTAAGAGTCTGTTTTTTAGTTTGTCTTTTTTTTTTTTTTTTTTTAAGATTTTATTTATTTATTTGACAGAGACACAGTGAGAGAGGGAACACAGCAGGGGGAGTGGGAGAGGGAGAGGGAGAAGCAGGCTTCCCGCCGAGCGGGGAGCCCGAAGCAGGGCTTGATCCCAGGAACCTGGGACCATGACCCAAGCCGAAGGCAGATGCTTAACAACTGAGCCACCCAGGTGCCCCTGTTTCTTAAATTCCACATGAGTGAAATCATATGGTATTTGTCTTTTTCTGGCTGACTTATTTCACTTAGTATTACACCCTCTAGATCCATTCATGATATTGCAAATGGCAAGAGTCCAGTCCTTTTTTTTCCCTTAAGATTTCATTCTTTTTTATGGCTGAGTAATATTCCAGTGATATACACCCACACACACATTTATATATATACATACACACATAGACCACATCTTGATCCATTCATCTATCAATGGACAGTTGGGCTGTTTCCATAACTTAGCAATTGTATAATCTGTTCATTTATTATAATACATAGGATGGAATAAGGGGCCTGAATATACTGGTACATTTTGTTCTGTGACTTTCTTCCATATGTGATAAGCAATTTCTAAAAAATTATGATGTTCTGCCAATAGAAATAAACAGACAAACCTGCCAAAACCACATGATTTGTTTGCTTGTCCTAGTGTAATGACGGTAGATGGCATGTCTTTGCCAGTCATTCAAATCAATCTCTTGCATTCCACATAAAAGGACCTTTGGAGATTTAAAAAAAAAAAAAAAGATGGTTTCTTTACAGCCTGTATAAAACTGCTAGACATAGAGAAGACTAATATTCAACAACTTTCAAAAAACAAATTAATCAGAGGCGTAGGCTTATAAGCTGTGCATCAGGAATTGTGTCTACATTACTTACGAAGGTTGAGTTTCCATGGATAGGGTCATATATACACATATTCAAAAAGAAATACACATATTCAGGTAAGTAAGTCATTCATTGTAGAGAGGTTCTGATAGTAATTCTTTTTTGGGGGGGTAAGACTTCTATATATTTGATAAATTATGGATTTTTTTTTTTTTTTAAGATTTTATTTATTTATTTGACAGAGAGAAACAGCGAGAGAGGGAACACAAGCAGGGTAAGTGGGAGAGAGAGAAGCAGGCTCTCCACCGAGCAGGGAGCCCGATGCAGGGCTCGATCCCAGGACCTTGGGATCATGACCTGAGCCGAAGGCAGACGCTTAACGACTGAGCCACCCAGGCGCCCCTAAATTATGGATTTTTTAAACCACTAGGGATACTTCAAAACATCCTGCTAGCATAAAAATACTATTGCTACTGGAAAGATGAGAAAGTGAGCTGAAAGCAGACACCTGAAGGCATTATTTACCAGCATGCTGCAGAGGAAATAAGAAAAACTCATTACCTCTAATTCCTTTGCATCAAAGTATTGCAAATACTGCTGGGGAAGAATTTCATTAAAGCCCTCAAAGAATGCTTGTGTCTGTTCTTCAACACCTCGAGACAACCTCCATTCAGCTACCATTCTGGTAAATAAATATTAAAAAAGCTATCAGGAAGTTTAGATTTTACTTTTAAATTCTGAGTATAAAAATAATTTTTAAAAACTCTATTATGAAAAACTTCAAATATTTATAAAAGTAGGATATAATGAGTCCTGTGTATATCCCAGCTTCAACCCAACACCAATCTTATTTCATTATGCCCCTACCCATACCTAGAAATCATATACTATCATTTTAAACATAAATAATTCAGCATGTATCTCTGTAAGATAAAGTCTCATTTTGAAAATAATCACAATTCTATTATCACACAAAAAAGTAAACAATTCCTTTACAGCCAAGTATTCAGTGCTCAAATTCTGATTGACTCAATTTAACATACTGCTTCAATCAGCATCTAAAAAGGGGTCATACACTGTAAAAGTCTCTTAAGCTTTTAACTTATAGATACCCCCTTGCAATTTTTTTTTTGAAAGAAAGTACTTTTTTTGAAGATTATTTGAGAGAGAGAGAGAGCACGCGTGTGCATGCGAGAGCAACAGAGTGTGTGGTGGGGGGAAGTACTGAAGGTGAGGGAGAGAGAATCTCCAGCAGACTCCCTGCTGAGCAAGAAGCCTGCAGCGGGGCTGGATCCCACCATCCTAAGATCATGACTGAGCCACCCAGGCGCCCCTTGAATGAAAATACTTTTAATGAAAATGCTCTACTAAATATTCTAGATTTCAACTTTGACTTTTAAAAAATATTTTATTTATTTGAGAGATCGAGAGAGAGAGAGAGAGAGTACGAACAGGGAGAAGCAGAGGGAGAGGGAGAAGCAGACTCCCCACTGAGCAGGGAGCCCAATGCAGGGCTTGATCCCAAGACCCCAGGATCATGACCTGAGCCAAAAGCAGACGTTTAATGGACTGAGCCACCCAGGCGCCCCTTGAGATTCTTTTCAGTGACTTGATATTACATGGCACAGTGGTTACAGAACTGGTATTGAAAAGAGTGATCTAGCACTATTTCTACTCTTAAAACTCTCACTTTTGGAGAAAAAGTGAAAGTTCTATATAACCAAAATTCTTTTCTATCCCTTTATTATCTTCAAATTGTGGTTAAACTGAAAATATACCAAGAAAGGTGTATAAAACATATCAGTACCCATTAGATTAATTCTTTGTAAAATTTAGTCTGAGTTAACATGCAGGATACCTGCTGCCTCCACAATAAT